GCTGGCTGAGGAATTCTGGGAGTTGAAGTCCACAAGTCTTAAAGTTGCCAAGGTTGGACACCCCTGCCATAAATGAAAAACTGTTTTGGAACACTCGCCTTTCTGGTTTTAAATGTTTATGAGAACTAAATAAATGGAATGAACATATAATTTCTTTGTGACTGGAAAAATATTCTGACCTTTGAAGTTTTAAACTCAGAACCAGCAATTTGAACTGACTCCAGAAAAAAAACTTGATATCAACTTTAACTCTCATCAACTTTAACTCCACCAGCTGAGCAATCTCTGCCCATTTGGCTGATTGTATTTGGGGTTATTCTTTGCATCATTGTGATTGGGATTGTTTTAGTCATATCTTTTGGGATTTATCACCGCAAGAAGTTAGTATTTTGAGTTGTCTTGCTTTGGGTCAGTCCACAAATAGAAATGAACAGTATTTTTCCTTATTGCTTCCTGGTTTATTTTTTCCCCATTGTTTAATAAATGTAGGCTAATATATGCCTATTCTCTATGTAAATGCTAACTGATCCATGGTGTATATCCATGGTATATCCATGGTCTTTTGCTCCAAATAAGCGTCAAGGAAGACAAGCTAATAAGTAAGAGGGACAGGTGGTGCTTGTAATATCATTATAGGGAAGCACAAAGGTCTAATCAGAAGCCGAGGGAATGGGAGAAAGGAAAACACAAGCAGCAACACTGCCTGGTGTGCATATAGATCTGAAGGGGTCAGGCAAAGTAATGCATATACTGTACATCGTTCTTATTTATTTATTTATCAAATTTATTTGCTCCCTATCTCACAGTTCAGGCAACTCTGAATATATAGTGAAGCCTCTTCACTGGTATGTTCTAAGGGTAAATGATACATTTGGGTAGATGCTATATTAGAGAATGAGCATTCACAATGCATTTATTTACATATTTATTTATTTACTGAAATTCTCATATAATGATCTTAGGTGGCACACAACAATCAATGCAAACCACCCTTTCCATAGGTGCCAGACCAATACTGTGTTTCCCCAAAAATTTGGTGTGGGGGGGGGCAAATAAGCAACAGGTCTTATTTTCGGGGGATCTCTTACCCACTTAACCTTAGGACCACCACAGCCAGGCATCCCACGGCCCAACATCAATCCGCTAGCTGCTACCTGACTTCCTCTGTGGTGGTTCATTGTGCCGATGCTGCCACTTGCATGCCAACACTGCTGCTCACGGCAGGAGGCAGCATGGCACGTCGCGCTGGTGCCACCACCTGCATCAGGAGGCAGCATAGCACGTTGTACCATTGCACATGCAAGCAGCAGCACCAGCAGGATGCTGCATGTGGCATCCTGATGCAAGTGGTAGCCGTAGAAGAACTCAGGCAGCAGCATGTCGGGCATGGGAGGCCTGGCTGTGGCAGTCCTAAGGTAAGCAGGTGCAGGGCGCGTGGGGCAGCTCCACCCCCTGCCTTAGCTTGATTTTTAAGTGTGCACTTTGCCCCACCGCGTACAGCCAAATGGTGGGATGGAGTGGCTGTGGGTCTTAACTAGGGCTTATTTGGGGGGTAAAGCTTATATTAGGCACATTTTAAAAAATCAAGCTAGGGCTTATTTTTGGGATATGTCTTATTTTCAGGGAAACACGGTAGCCTCTCAAATCAACACCCCTATCACACCCAAAACCCAGGAGAGGAGTCAGGTCTCCATGACCTTCTGGAAATCTAAAAGGGTAGGGGATGCGTAATTGTTGTCTATCATGTAATGGAGCTATTTGTTGCAACCTCTCCTTCAAGAGGCACCTTTGCTTTTGCCACATTGGGGCACATCGGAAATACTTTATTTATTGTGTTAAACAACTAACTACTGAAATTGGTAGCCTGAGGGATTGCCTTTTTCCAAGTGTCTCTACCAGTCTAACCAGATTGAGCAAAAGTGAGCATGCTGCAGATCCCATCAAAGAGTGTTGGCTGCCAGTGATCAGAAAGCAGGCTTTTCCCACAGTGCCCTTGTTCTATGGAACATCCTCTTTTCAGACGTTAAAATGATCCCAACCCTGTTAGTTAGCTTTCTGTAACGCCCTAAAAAGTCCCTGGCCTTATTCCTGTGCCTGGGGTGATGAATGCGTCAAGGACCCGATTCCTGGTTGTGTTACTAACTGCCCAAGTACTTTAGTCCTATGTATATTTAATCTGTGTGTTTTTAGTGTTTTAAGATGTTTTTTAGTATTTTTAACTATAATGTATTTTTATAACTGTAAACCAGTATATTTTATAAACTGTAAACTAGAATCATTGACTGAGATGGGTGGTTATAGAAATTGCATAAATAAGTTAACAAAGAAACAAACATGGGAATTTATTCAGACTGTTAATTTTAGTGGGTTATGAAATAATATATGAGTGTGTGGCTTTCCATTTGAGAGACATGCAAGAAAGGCTTAACAGCAGTGAGACTTGATAAAGCCTACCTTGCAATTAAGGTAATTTACTTTTAGCAAATGTCTCCAGTCAAGAGTTTGCAGGATATTTACAATATACTTTTATGACTGTTAATATTACTGATATAGAAATCCTGAGGTTGTTACATTATGCATTATGGGTTGAAAATGTGCTGTACTTGACCTTTGAGTTCATTATCTCCTCTAAATTGCTGATGCTGCATCATAAATCATATGGGATGGTCTGTCAACCTATCAGTGGTGCTCAAGGTCAAAAACTGAAGTAGATCAGAAATTGTTAATTTGCTCATTCATGTATAGATTCACTAACAAAATCACATTTTAGGAAGAAGCATCAAATAATTGCAACCATTGGAATTATATTGAATTATATTTGAGAAAATAAAAACGGTACTGTCAGCTGCCTATCTTTGCTTTCTTTGAAGCTTACTAGCAAGTTCCATAAACAGTATTTCTGGTGCCCTCAGGTTGGTATTGAGGCCAGGCAGTTGGTGGACACAGCTGTGCCATTTTCTGGGCAACATTTTTCGAAATGCTTTGCCATTGCCTCCTCCCTAGAGCTGAAAGAGAGTGACTGGCCCAAAGAGCTGTCTTTGTGCCTAAAGAGTGACTTGAACTCACAATTTCCCAGTTTGTAACCTGAGCTCTTTAACCACTATACCAAAGCTGTACTGTATTGTAATGTTTATAGAAGGGTAATTTATCTGCAAAGTTAAAGCTGAAATGATGTACGCTTTTCATATTTTACTGACAGTAGCAATTTTATTCTGTCTCTTTTCCAGACTTAAAAATGTTGAAGAAACAGAAGATTTAGATGATAAATATAAAGCAGCCACAACAATGGAAAATAGAATTCCCTGTCATACTTTAGATTTTAAAGCTGGCCAGATTAATGGAGTCTATGCAGCAGCCGATGAAGATCGGTTTACGTCCTTATGAATATAAAAGGATGCTGTTTCTTGGTCTCTTTCTGAGACTCTGACCTCCTTTTATCTGGTTTTTACTGCTGATTATCAATAAAAAGAAAATTATGTACTTAGTTTCTTTTTTGCCCTTGGGTCATTTCTTTTGATAAGCGCACTTACATAGTGATAGACCTGAGTTTCTCATTCAAGGCAGTGTTCTTCATGAAAATATGTAAACGTTTAATAAAACTCCCACTGTTAAATGTTCTTTGGATGTATCAGTGATGCAATAATATAACCTTATTATGATTTATTCATATCTTCACCTTTTCTATTATTTTATAACAGGAAACATATGAGCTGCTTTCTTCTAACATACAAGCCAACTTTTGTTACCACAGGATTCTATTCACTTCAATGGGCACCAAAGACAACAAAATATAATTTTTAAAAACTGATAAAAGATAACAAATGGTAGTTTGTGTTTACAATGTCTTCTTGGACACCTGTATAGTTAACTATATAGATGTTATTACAATTCTCCCACTAGGGTCTTTGTAAAAACTATCTGCAAAGTTATAGTGGTTTGTAATTAAGGTTTTTGTCCTGCAGTGATGTAATAAGTGTTTCCTTTGGCATATTTTATCAGGGGTACCAATTAGATGATAAAAGTGGAATAGCTGAAGTAGAATGTAGAATAGATAGAATATAGATAGAATAATAGGACATACCTCAAAGCTGAATATTAAAAGGGGATATAATATATTTTGGATTTTTGAACAGTGAATTATAACACAATTAAGAATCTAAGTCTCTTAAATTTCAAAAACTGGGAAATGGTCAAATAACTCAGAAATAGGTAGGGAAGAGGGCAGAATCTGTTATGAATTAGTAATAATTCTTTTAATGCTAAGAATAGTGCAAAAAAAAAAACCTTTCCAAAACTAACAACACTTTACAGTATTCTTTTGTTTATTAGTCTGTTGATCAAATTAGATATTTTTAGGGAGTTATAGCAGCAGAGATTATACTCTAATCTTCTCAGTTTACCTAGATCATTAACATTTCTGAATTTAAAATCTGCAACATCTTGTAAAAGTTATGTTAACAATGTCACTGAGTAATTTTTTTCCTTGGATTTAATTATCTATACATAGGAATATTTTGTGCTTATGTTGGAATGAGGAAAAATAAAAACCAAAAACTTTTCTTGAATGTAATCTGAATTTTTCCTAATCCTTATATTTGTTCCTGGGTAATAACATTGAAAGCTTTTCCTCATTTTCCAGTGATTTATACTTGCCAAAGGATAATTTTGGCCTGATCAGTTTAAAGATGTCATTTGAAGTGTTTCAACTCTAACCATACATATGTTCCAGACTTTGAAAACTCATGCCATTCATTCTTGTATTAGGCACTCTTAGAAAATCTTGCCATCAAATGGTGCTTGGAATTTGTGAAGGCAAACGAAGACCAAAAGACAATTATCATTCTGCCTATTGCTTTTATCTTTAAGGTAAATGCTAAATTGGTTGGTCCCAGGATAAACACTTATGATAATCTTACTTATTGTGATGGGACTAATTTCCAGTGCTACAACTGCAGCTATAAAGCAATATAATCTACTCAGAAATCAATACTTTTAATTTCAGTGGGAATTAGTTACGAAGAGCTGCCTTACTTCTCTACTCTACAATAAACCAAACTGAATTCAATACTGTACTAAGCTATGTGGTGTGCTTTGTGGCTTAGTGCATTATACAAACCCAGCATAGTTTGTAAACCATAGCTTCTAGCTTGGGTAAATCTAAGCAGTTGTGATTAATTCATAGGCTTTGTGCGTTGTATGAACAGATATAACTAATTATTTAGTCTTTATCTATCTACTTTACCTAGAAAATAAGTTCACCTTATTCCTCCCAGAAGCTCTTTCCCAGTACCATATGTCTTGGACTGGTGCTCTAAAGATGTACTAGGTCCGTGATGGCAAACCTATGGCACATGTGCCACAGGTGGCACACAGAGCCATTTGTGTGGGCAAGTGAGCTCCAGCCAAATTTATCTGCATTGCGCATGCATGCACCTCCCAGCTGATTTTTGGCCCGTTTGAGGTCGTTTTCACCCTCACGGAGGCTCAAGGGAAGCCTCTGCAGCCTCGGGAGAAGTGCCAAAACGGGCCCATTTTCAGCCTCTCGAAGTTCCCGAGGCTCCCCTCGAGCCTCCGGGAGGGCGAAAACTGCCTCCCCCGGGCTCCAGAGGCCATCTGGAGGCCGAAAACGGGCACTTCCAGTATTTCAAAAAACCGGCTGGGAGGTACACACATGCGCAGTGCAAGTAAGGGGGCAGGGCGGGGGTGTTGTGCATGCATGCGCAGGGGTGGTGGGGTGCATTACATTGTGGGTGCCAGCACACGTGCACGCTTCTGGTACACCACAACAAAAAGCTTCACCATCACTGTACTAGATGAAGCATACTGATTAAAAGGATACTGGCAGATAAGAAAAGTTATGATTTTCTTTCCTACTTTTAATCTTTAGCAATTGATTTTTTTCGCCTCTTAAAATTCAAATAGAAATTAAACAGATTACATAAATAGAGGGAAGCAAAATAAATATCAACATATCAGATAGTAGAATAGGAAATAATTTTGAATGACTTGTCTGTTTACTCAAGCACTTCCCAATAGGGCAACACCATCACGATGTCTTGGACTAAAATTGCCCAAATCCTGGGCAATTTCTGTGATTTCTGTGGGGAATGGGAATTACAATCCAAACACCTGGTAGACATCTTGGAAAAGCTATTAAATACCATTTGATAAACTCCCGGATCAGATTCAAATAGTTACTACTTATTTCACCTGTAAAAGTTGTGTCAAAGTTCTAGGGTTTTTTCCATCAACTGCACAAGATGAGTACTTAAATAAATTTTTAAGCAATAAAAAATTACTTACATATGTTGTTTATATTTAACAGCTTCAAAATTGCTTTAACAGCTTCTCAAAATTGTTGCATTCCACATGCTATATTTTGACATTACTTCCAGAATTCACAGCCACTAACTTTTGTTATTCTGATGTCAAGTAACTTCATAGTCAACACCAATGAGCCAAATCCTAACAGGTCTCAATATCATCAGAGACAGAATTATGCTTTTCTGGATTTCTGGGAATTGTATTCTTCAAGGGTACCAAGCTGGGGGAAGCTGCCTCTGATACCAACACCATTTTTAAACATTATTTCATTTTTCTTCTTTAAATTGCAATGTTCTAATTTTGTTTTTTATTTTATTTACTTATTCTTGTTAATATGCTATATTACCACCGGGCAAATCAACTGGACATAATTGTAAATGGAACACTTGTGCTGAAATTTGTCCTCTAGCTTCCTAATATTTTTATTCCACCATGAAAGAGACTTCTGTTTTTCTTTATATTACAAATTATTCCACAACTAAGAAGACAGAGTCTTTTGCTTTCTGATTTACATTCTAATCTGAAAAAGGCCAGTTTAGAACGACACAAACTGGGCATTAACGGAAACTGGAATCATTGTAGTCCAACAGAGAAATGATTATACAACAAAGACTGTTGTCTGTTCTGCTCAAAAGTCATTTCGTTTAAAACAGCATTCCTTCTTTTCTGAAGAGTTTACAACAGCCAACAAACAACTGCTAATGTAAATTAGTCTTCACAAATATATATATTTGTACATATATACAAATTTATACACACACACAGAGAGACAAGACATCCAGTAAGATAGTAAAAACAAATCACATTTAGAAAGGCAACAATGCATAGATGAAATGCCTTCCAGGAAAGGAAGATTATTATCAGTTGCATAAGGTGATTAAGGATGACGAGAAGGGTGGGTTGGGTTCAGCCAACAACTTTTTCTGGGCAAAAACAATAATTATATATCTGAACTATAAGGTACTAAGCCAAGGGTGGGTTTTTTTTTTTTTTGGTTTTTTTTTTGCAATCAGAGTAATGATGCACACACAGGGATTAACTTCACCACTTACAGGCAGGGGCAAAGGTTAGCTCAGCTCATTTAGCTCATAAAGGAAAGCAGAAAAGTGACTGCATAAAGGAAGAAGAGGTATGGGTCTGAGGAGGTCCAAGGGACTATGTCCAGAAGTGGAACTATTAGAGAAAAAGGCAGAAGAAGCTGAGGAAAAAATAAGTTGGAGGGAAGTCACATGGCTGACTCTTTTAAGATAAGGAATGCTAAAGTTCACGTATTCATTTGATGCAGCTAACCAGGACTTTGGCATTAGGCCTTCTAGTTGTATCATATTGTCTAAGTCTGTTTTTAAAATCTCCAAGTTTTCATCTCAGAAAATGTGACAGAACAGATGATAACTAGCTCTATCATTGACAGGACGCTGGAGAAATATTAACTCTATGTAAAAGCCTTTCAAAAGAAAACCATAAAATGCTTAGAGGTAATTATCTTTCTCCAGAAGTTAATTATTCACTTTTTCTTACTTGGCTTTAACCCCCACCCACCCCCGCCCTTCTAGATTTTGTCCTTTTGCTGGATTAAAACTATAAAATGCCCTGTGAATAGGTTTCTTCCTCTTTTTCTATAGCCAAGCACTGGATAAATACTAATGAAACAAGCACTAGTCAGGAAGCCTTCTTCAAGGAGCTTTACCCATCCAGCATTTTCTGACCTAAAGGAAATATGTTATCCTGGCTCTGCTTGACTTGGAGCCTTGTTGTTTTGGCTCTGGCCCAGGATGAGACCCAGAAGGCTGCAGAGTTTTTAAAGCAATTTGATATCCGTGCAGTTGATCTGTATTATAATGCATCCATCGCTTCATGGAATTATAATACCAACCTGACAGAAGAAAATGCCAAAATAATGGTGCGTACCTATTGATAACTATTTGCTGTTTATTTAAGAAATAAATGGGATTGTAAAAGAGGATATTAAAAATGATCTGGAACGGTGAGTCAAATAAAAGCTAAGTATCATTAAGAAATAGATTAAAATGGCATTTGCTGAACTTAACAGCATCATAAAGCCTACCAGAAGTTTACCTGAATTAAAATTGTAGGCTAATTCTAGTCTGACAACA